AGCAGCAGCCAAGGAAATGACAGCCAGCTAGAAGCTGGACAGCTTGGGATCTCTGCTCTATTTATAAAATATTCTTTGTTCTCACACCTAAACACAGAGAAATGCAGGGCGGGGATTTAATTTTCACCAATGCCTACTAAACACAGAGCTCATCTGGAACAGAATCTATCTGCTTCCCCTACACCTCAGACTCTACTTGAAAACAGGAAATATTTTCCTTTGTTAAGGGAAAAAAAGTGATTTAAAATTTCCAAAGCCATCTGGGCCTATTAAAGTGAGTTGTTCCTATGAAACAGAGTGGGGTCCCTAAAAATAAAGTTAAAATCTGCATGGAAATAAAACCTAGCTGTGCAGAAGGAGTGTGACAATAGGCTAGGAGTTTAATGCCACCTCTGCCAAGGAAAGGGGTTGGCTTGCAAAATAACTTATCTTGTATAATATATTCTTAAAAGAAGAAACTTGGAGTAGAATCCTGTCCAAAGCCTGCATTCCTTAAGGCTTAAAAAAAATTAAGTTTTCGGGGCAGCGCCTATGGCTCAAAGGAGTAGGGCACCAGCCCCATATGCCGGAGGTGGTGGTTTCAAACCCAGCCTCGGCCAAAAACTGCAAAAAAAAAAAAAGCTTTTATTTTGGAATAATTTTATACTTACAGAAAGTTATAAAGAGGAGTAGGGAGCTTTGTATACCCTTCACCCAATTCCTCCAATATTAACATCTTATATAACTATGGCACATTTACCAAAACTAAGAGATTAACACTGGCATATTTCTGTAAACGCCACACTTTATTTGGATTTCACCAGTTTCTCTACTACTGTCCTAATCTTGGACCTTTTTACAAAATGTTTACTGCAGGGAGCCAAAGGCCCAGATAGGCATGTGACGTAGAGGAAACAACACCCGGGTCTAGTCCCACCTGCCACATGCTAACTACACGACTGGAGAGTTTCGTTTTCTGAGCTTTAAAAGGGCTTCCACCTCACAGATGCTGACTCTAGACTTCAGTTTACCTTTCATCTCCCAACAATCACCGACCAGAGTTTAGGGCAGAGGCCTAATCCCTCACTTGGTAGTGATTCTACCTGATACTCCATTAGAGAATGGAGTCCCTCTGGGACCTTCCAGATCTCAAAATTATTTCAAAGTCTATGGGTGTCTTAAACGGCTGAGGGATGGACAACCTTTCTTCAGGAGTCTGAGAAGTGCATAATGTGGCAGAGGTAATAGTCAAACAACATCTATTTTCCCTTCGTGAGTACACATCTCAGGCTCCCTTGAGACAAAGTTCTAGCCAATGGGAGATAAACACAACTCTGTGCTACTTCTAGAGATGGCCCAATCCTCCAAGCTCTACTCAAGTCACTAAATGGCAGGCTTAGAGCAACCTTGGAAACCATGTCAACATTGGCATCAGGCTAATCCCTAAACAACTACATATCCCCCTCCTACTTCCTCAGCCTAAAACTACCTAGATACTGAGTAAGGAAGAAAACACAAAAAACCCTTCTCTTTGGAGTTGGCTATAGCAGTGTAGCCTACCCCAGCCAATACAGATAGTACCATTAGAGTGAGACCTTGCGTCCGGAGCTGCACTTAGGGCCTCAGGTACACAGAACTGAGTTGATCACAGGCTTACTCCACAGCCAGTGTCACTCTCCTTCATGCATCCATCCATCTCTTACATTTCCCTTTCCTCCCTTCCTTCACCATTCCAGTGCCGTGCCATTCCCTCCCAGACCTTATTCTAGTGATGAAGTATTTATCATCTTCCTTAACAAATAATATTTTGTTTGTTTAATTCAATTAGCTATGAACCTCATTGTTTCTTATTTCCTTCACCTGGAGTTTATCATGTTGCTAAGGTCCTAAGGGCTAACATCTGATTAGTTTTTAAATAATATTCCATCAGATGCATATGCCATATTTTGCTCATCAGTTCCCGCAGTGATGGAAAGTTGCTTCCAATTTCTTGCTCTCCAAACTACACATAGATAAATGTCCTTATATGTAACTCCTTGAGGATTTGTGCAAGTTTCTCTGAAGGACATAACCAGGAGGGGAACTACTTCCATGTAGGTACATATTGAATGTATTGTTATCTGCAGCTGTATAACCACTACCCTAATGTAAATTACCTACCCCCAAAGTTTTAGTAGCTTAAAACAGTTAACAACCCACAAAATGAGAGAAAATATTTGCCAATCATTTATCTGTAAGGAACTTGTAACCAAGATATATAGAGAACTCTTTACATAAGAGTGTGTATGTGATATATATATATATGACAAGTAACACAAATGAATAACGGGCAAAAGATGTAAATAAATATTTCTCCAAAACATATGTAAAGATGCTCAACACCATTAGGCATCGGGAAAATGCAAATCAAAATCATTGTAAGATATACCACCTCACATCTACTAGGATGGCTACAATTAAAAATAATAACAAATGTTGGCAAGGATGTGGAGAAACTGTATTTCCTCGAAAGAAGTTTGGTAGTTCCTCAAAAAGTAAAACATGGAGTTACATATAACCCAGCAATTCTACTCCTAGGCATAGATCCAAAAAAAAATGAAAACACACATCCACACAAAACCTTATACATGAATTGTTCACAGCGGCATGTTCATAACGGCCAAAAAGTGGAAACAACTCAAATATCCATCAGATGATACATGGATAAATAAAATTCAGTATATCCACACAAGGGAATATTATTTAATTGATTAGGCATTAAAAAGAATTAAGTACTGATACATGTTAGAATATGTTTAAACCATAAAAATATGATCCAAAGCAAAAGAAGCCAAAGACCACACATTTTATGACTGTCCCATTCACATATTATCAATATATGAAAGTCCAGAGTAGGCAGATCTAGAGACAGAAAGTGGCTGGTGGTTGCCCAAGGATGGGGGAGCTGAGAGAAAGTGCACATCACTGCTGATGGGTACAAAATTTCTTGTATCCGCAAGGTAACGAAAATGTCTTAAAATTAATTGTTAATGGTCACACAACTCTTGTGATATACAAAACCACTGAATCATACAGTTTAAAGGGGTGAACTCTTTAATAAATAAAGCTCTCAATAAAATTATTTTTAAAAACATATGAAACTTCTATTATCTCACAGCTTCTTTGGATCAAGAACTTGGAGCTGAGTGTTCTGGCTCAGGATCTCTGAGGAGGCTGAGGTCAGGTGTCTTATCAGGGCTACAAGCGCCTGACGGCTTAGAGAGAGCTGAAGGATCTACTCCAAAGTGGCTCACTCACATGGCCAGCAACTTGGTGCTGGCTGCTGGTGACAGACCTCAGTGCCTCTCCACACGGGCCACTCCAGAGAGCTACCTTAGTGTTCTCATGACAACGAGGTTGGCTTTCTCCAGAGCAAGGATCCAAGATAGTGCAAGGCTTTACCGTCTCTATGACACAGCTGCAGCAGTCACTCGTACCCAGTACATCCTATTGGTTGCACAGGTCAGCCCTATTCACTGGGGGGTGAGGGGGAGGGACTATGACAAGGGCTTAAATACCAGAGAGTGGAGATCATTGGGGGCCACCTTGGAAGCTGACTACCACACTGATGATGATGATGATAAAAATCATAGCTAGTAATTTTATGACTTACTGTGTGCCAGGCATTATTCTAAGCTTACAATAAACCTTTGAGGTGGCTGAGCGTGATGGCTCACACCTGTAATCCTAGCATTCTGGGAGGCCAAGTGGGAGGATCGCTTGAACTCAGGAGTATAAGACCAGCCTGAACAAGAGCAAGAGCAAGACTCCATCTCTACAAAATAGAAAAAACTTAGCTGGGTATGATGGCTAAGGCAGGAGGATAGCTCAAGCCCTGGAGTTTGAGGTTGGAGTAAGCTACAATGACGCCACTGCATTCTAGCCAGGGCAACAGAGGAAAACTCTATCTCAAATTAAAAACTAAAAAATAAAAAACCTATGAGGTAGGTACTATTATTTCCATTTTACAAATGAAGAAATAAGGCACAGAGACGTGGCTTACCAAAGGTCACATACCTAGCAAAGCTGAGATTCAAATTCAGGCAGTATAGCTCCAGAGCCACACTCCGAAAAACTATGCAAAATTATATCTTAGATATTACTTAACTTCAATAAGTTTCACCCACCTCTTCTCCAGAATGGATGCACCAACTGAAATTTTCCATGACTTTTGATTTCTCATGAGAGTTCAAGTTCTTGCCTATTTTTGCCAAACTAAAAGATATAAAGTAGAAACTCGGTATTTTCATTTTCATTTCTCTACTTACCTGTGAGGCAATACATTTTGTAGCCATTCCAATTTTCCCTTTTGATTTTACCTATTTGCATTCACATATTTTTATTTGGTATTATCTATTTCTTCTGGATTTGTAGGACCTCAACTATATTCGGTCCCTTATATATGCAATCCCTTGTCAGTTTTAGACTTGCAAATATTTTCCTTTTATCTACATCCACCCTTAGTTTTGACTATGGGGTGCTTTGCCGAATAGAAATCTTTACTTATGAAGTAGTCAAAACCACTAGATCTTATGGATTGGATTTTGGATCTTATTTAAGAAATCTACTTTCACCCCCAGGTCACAAAGACGTTCATTTGTTTCTACTACCTTTATCATGTCGCCTTTCATTTAGGTCTTTAATCACTTTGGGGTTTGTTTTCGTTTTATATGGTACAAAGACCCAACTTTATCTCTGTCCATATATAAGCCAATTTTCTGAGCACCATTAGCCATCTTCCTCATTAATTTGTTAACACTACCTTTATCATATACCTTGTCTCCAAATACCCATATTTCTACTCCTGATTCTAAGTTAGTACCAATTCTTTTTTTTAATCAGAGAAAGGCTCTATCACTAAGAAAGTTTTTACTCACGCTGTATTCTAAATCAAGGAAAAATACAACGATCACCCCTAAGACCCACAGGGATTCAATGTTCGCTTGTATTCTTCCCCCAAACAGAATATCCAGTTAAGAATGTAATTTTAAAAAAATAAATGTATGTTTATTTAAAAAAAGAAAAAGGAGAAAGCCTCATCAAGAAGAAACCCTGGGACACTGAGAAATCAATGGTTCCTCTAACAGCCAGCAACAGCCAGTATTGTCAGACCTGAGCAGTACAGGTACCTCAGTCCAAAAATCAGGTCTCCAATATTCTTCTGTGGTCACAGCTACCGTTCAAGAAGTTGCTGGTTTGTGTGGGCCCTGATTACTAGCACAGATGTCTTACTGTCCTGCGCCCACTGACATAACCCAAAGCCATCCCCACAGCCTCAGGAAAGTTACATGTCTTCCACACTCCATTTGTAGGCAAGTTCCTCCACTGCCTTCTTGCTGGCAAGTCTGGCAAAGCGCTTTTGTTCAAATCCATTGGATCTGCAACCAAAAGAGATACAGAACCTTGAAATGGACATTTATTTTAAAAGAAACAGTTCACAGTTTACAATATAATGAGTCATAAGGAAAGTGAGGCAATTACACAAAAATACTTAAAGCATATCCAGTAGAATCAAAGGGACAAAATACATAATTCATGCTTTTCTTAGTCCTTATGCAAACCCTTCTCTCATTCATTAACTACTTCAAATCTTTACTATAGTTTCTAAAGGCCCAACTCACTCTCAGCTGACATCCACATCTTAGACTTTATCCATTCATTAAACATTTACTGGATATATATTAGTTATCTGTTGCTATATAACAACTACCCTGCATGAAAATTACCTACCCTAAACATTTTAGTAGCTTAAAACAGTTAACAACCCACAAAATGAGAGAAAATATTTACAAATCATTTATCTATCAGGAACTTGTAACCAAGATATATAAAGAACTCTTTACTACATTCATTTTATACAGTGGTAGGCACTGTATAAAAAGAAGAAAGGGCAAAACAACCAGCAGCGGGACGTCAAGGAAACCAACATGGGGTGAGTTTCACCGAAGTAGTAAGTCCACCTTAAAGCCCTGCCAGTTACTATGCACTCTCAGGCTTATCTAAAGTTCTTAAAAGCCCATATTCACTGTCCCTGTCTCCTCATTTTTCATTCACTCCTTAACGCATTAAGAACCTGGCTTTTACTTGACTATGCTGAAAGCTAGTTCTCTTTCAGGTCATCAATGTGATTCCTTGTGCCAAATCCAGTGAATCCTTTCCCCCAAATCCATCAAAGGTCCTCCCACCTCATCCCTAACCCTTTCCCCACTTCCTCTTCTCTTACCACTGTCTGAAAGTAATAATTCAGATCTCCATCACCTCTAGCCTGAGCTACTACAACAATGTTGTACATAACTCTACTTCCAAACCGGTACCTTTCAAATCCTTTATGTCACTGCCAGAATGATTTGTCTATCTAAAATGCAGTGACGGCTGAGCACTGTGGCAGGCACCTATAGTCCCAGCTACTTGGGAGGCTGAGGCAAGAGGATTTCTTGAGCCCAGGAGTTTGAGGTTGCTGTGAGCTATGATGCCACAGCACTCTCTCAGAAAATAAAATACAGAGATACTTTTAATCCTTCAGTGGCTCTCCTTTGCCTCTGGGGCAGTGGTTCTCAACTTTCCTAATGCCCCAGCCCTTTAATACAGTTCCTGTGTACTGTGGCCCACAGGTTGAGAACCGCTGCTCTAGGGCGAAGACTAAGCTCCTCCGAAGGTCTTCCAAGGTGTTGTGAACAGGCCACACCTACCTCTGCAGTACACCTCACACAACTCCATTCCACACTCTGTGCTATCCAACAATAACAAAGTGTTTACGCCCCCCCCCCCAATAACACCATATCCTTATGGCTGCACAGACAGGCCCCTCTTCCTTTAACACCCTTCCTTTCATTTTTACTTGGCTGGTTACTGACCTCCCTTCCTCTAGGCAGCACTCCCTCACCACATCCTCCTAAGGCTAAATTTACTCTTCCTTTGTGCTCTCAAGGCCCTTGAAAATCCTCTACAGTAACACCAAGTAGCATTGAAATTACTTGTCTATGTTCTCTTCCCAATAGAAAGCAAGGCTCAGGGACTGTCTCATGCTAATTGGGGAATCTCTGGTACCCAATACATAACCATTTAAGGTTATAACATGCATGTAACACAAGTAAGGGTTTGAAAAGGACAAAATGTTTTACAAGTTATCTCTTTAAAACCCCTCACATTTTTTGAGGAACTGAAACCTGCAGTTCCTGCCCAAGGCCAGTAATCAGAGAAGCAAAGGAGTGTTCTTTGTTTTAAACCAAAGGAGATGGCACAACAGAATTAGGCAAAGGGCAAAGGGCATGAGGTCATCTTCACCAGAGAAAGGCTGACCAGACTACCAACCATAGTTTAAATAGCAAAGGCCGGTAGCTGAAAACCCCCTTTGAAGCTCTGCTTAAAGGGAGAATGATAAGAGTCTCTCAAGACTCTGCCATCCTCCCCTTTTGCCAGCAAATTAATAAACTTCTCTTTCCTCCTTCTTGATTTGGTGGAGACAAGTACCAATTTCAGTTATATGTATGCTAAGGCCTTCCCTAAGGGGTACGTGAGGTGATAGAGGCTTTAATAAGAAGGGAAGCTCATTATAAATGGTATCACTGCCAACCTTAGAGACATGGATGGTATTCCAGAGCACCAAGGAAACCACTGGGTTTTTTGCCTTTAGGAAATAAGTACTTAAGAGAATAAACACTAATATAATAATGCAGACAATGATATGTGAATAACAAACCAAGTCCTAAGCAGAATCAAAAAACAAACTGCAAAAGAATTCACAGTGGAAAGAGCTTTGGACCAGAGAAACCCAGGATTACAGCTTATCAGGTGAGCTGGATGACTCTAGGCAAACTGATTATTGGGCCCCAGCCTTTCTTTTAAATAATGGCAGTTAGCTTAATTGATCTTATAGGCTTTTGAGACTGTGACATGCTATAAATCTGTTCTAGAAATATTCCCTTGCCATGAACTGAAAAAGACAAAATTAGAAAAGGTGATAGAAGAATAAATAACAGGAAGAAGGCAAGGATGACAAAGGAAAATAAAATCAGAAGTCTAGGATAAAACAGGAAAAACAAGTGGAGAAAAGCAACTGGGAAAAATGATGCATTAAACACCAGCAAAAAACCAGGTAAAGGAAAGTTCTAAGTTATGGGTCCAAAAAAAAACACTTCCATGTAGCAAAGTTGTAGGGTTGTGGCCATAAAGATATCTACTGCTGGGTATGTGGCAAATTGGTATTCTGAAAAATTCTACTACCAAAGAGACTACATACATTGAGTCACAAATCAAAGACATAAGCTAGCCTGAAACCACAGCTACCTTAAAAACATATGCCAATATGAGGAACGGAGCTTCAGATTTTGATGACACCCTAAGGGATAGAAGACAATGCCACAGGCCCATATAAGATGGGGAGGAGGATTCCTGTCATGGCAGAGTAACTGGAACAGACTAACCTACTCTCAAGATTAAAAAAATACAAATATTTGAAAGTACAGCAGAAGCTCTGCAAGCTGACCACCCAAGGGACTACAACAAACTGGCCACATACAGAGGTGGTCAACACAAGGAACTTCTATTGAGTCTATGTGGCGCATGTCTGGTCTATGACGATTACGTCAGACAGATCAAGGAAGAAACCAGAGAATTAGAAAACCTTTTGAACAAAATCCAACATATATTTCTGAAAACAACTCTCAGCAAATGAGGAATAGAAGGGAGCCTTCTCAGCCTCATAAAAGGTATCTACAAAAAATAGCTTACAACATACTTAAAAGACTAAATGTTTTCCTTCTAAGATTAGGAACCAGGCAAAGACATCTGCTCTTATTACCTGTACTCAACATCTGCACTGGAAGTGCTAACTAACGCACTAGGCATGAAAAAGAAACAACAGGCATCAGGACTGAAAAGGATGAAGTAAAACTATACTCAAGGATAGAAAGATCCCCCAGGTACAAAATCCAATGGAATCTATTAAAAAAACCTATTCTACAGGGTGACCTTTACTTGATGGAAAACAACTGAGAGTATTTCTTGCCGATGATAAAATGCGAGCTTTCAAGTGTAAATTAGAATTTTTATTTATTTTATTTTTTTCTTTTGAGACAGAGTCTCACTCTGTCACCCTGGGTAGAGTGCCATGGCATCACAGCTCACAGCAACCTCCAACTCTTGGGCTTAAGCAATTCTCTTGCCTCCCGAGCAGCTGGGACTACAGGTGCCGGCCACAGCACAATGCCAGGCCATTTTGTTGTTGTTGTTGTAGTTGTCATTGTTGTCTGGCAGGCCTGGGCTGAATTTGAACCCACCAGCTCTGGTATACATGGCTGGCATTCTAGCCACTGAGCTACAGGCGCTGAGCCATAAATTAGAATTTTTCAAAACTGTGTATCAGCTGGGAGTGGTAGCTCATGCCTATAATCTTAGCACTCTGATATGCTGAGGGAGGCGGATCTCTTGAGGTCAAGAGTTCTAGACCAGCCTGAGCAAGAGCAACACCCCATCTCTACTAAAAACAGAAAAATCAGCCAGAAGTCATAGCAGGTGCTTGTAGGCATCTGCATCCAAGCTATATGAGAGGTAAAGGCAGGAGGATCATTTGAGCCCAGAAGTTTGAGCCACTGCATTCATACGCTGGGTAATAGAAAAAAAAATCTGTATGCATCACCATGAACTATTTAGCTTTCCATTATTTACAGACTTCCATGATAAGATCAGAGGCAGTGTTAACAAAATTGATTTTTTAATACTGCCTAGTGAAAATACGTCAACATTTGGAGGCATCTGAAACACTCAGCAAACCAGTATTTTACAAATGCCCAGTGCATGATGTTGTACAACTATGCACAGGTAAAAGAGCCACTCAAAGTACAAAGAGATCGTGGGTTTTAATAACCGTTAACAGTGGGAAAAGTATAAAAAATTCCTTCACCTGGTTTCAGATACTACATAACTAACCTTTAAGAAACTAGCACTTGCTGAGTTTTGTGTAACATCAAAAAATATAATATGCCTTCCTTTTCTAACTACCCATGTTTGAGGCTGAATTTTCTTCCTGTTCTTCAGCTAAACAACACATCACAACCGACAAATGCAGATTCACGCTGTCTACTATCAAGCCAGACATTAAGAGATTTACAAAAATGTGTATCAATGCCATTCCTCTATTTTTTCATTTGGAGAATATAGCTATTTTTCATAAAAACAGCAACATTGTTAATATTTAATGGCTTTTTCTTAGAATGATTTAATACATACTTTTTAAACATCTGAGTTTTGGTTTCTAATAGGTGGTTTCTACAATCCACATAAAGAAAAGCTTTTGGGGATTCTCAATAATTTTTAAGAGTATAAAGGGGTCCTGAGATTAAAGTTTGAAAACCATGTGCTAGATATTAGAACATCCTTTAGTAGGCAAGAGGGTCTAAAATGTAAGCAGAGGGACTGATTTTGGATAGGAGCAAATACAGTTCATCCATCATAACATGCAAGAATTTAGGGTGGCACCTGTGGTTCAGTGGGTAGGGTGCTAGACCCATATACCGAGGGTGGCAGGTTCAAACCCAGCCCGGGCCAAACTACAACAAAAATAGCCAAGAGTTGTGGCAGGCACTTGTAGTCCCAGCTACTCAGGAGGCTGAGCAAGAGAATCACTTAAGCCCAAGAGTTGGAGGTTACTGTGAGCTGTGACACCACAGCACTCTACGGAGGGTGACAAAATGAGACTCTGTCTCAAAAAAAAAAAAAAGAATTTAGAGTATGTGGGTCCAGATGGTGGTAGGTAAATAGATGGTAATAGGTGGCAGGGGTTTGTGAGACATTACAAGTGACTAAAAGACACAACACATAGGAGGCTTCAGACCACAACTCATCAGTCATCCCCTCAAACCTAAGAAAATAACGCGGAAAGAAACCAATGTCTGAAGCAAAGGATGTACAATCTGAACCACGTGAGTTATTTGTCTCAAGCTTTAAGGATAGTTTTGAAAAGGAAACAGAAGTAGGAATGTTCCACGCATCAAAAATAGGATTTATCGACCTCACAAACAGAAGCAAGCTTACTGAATATTTTTCATGTTGTGATTAGAGCAGAGAATGAGGAAGAGTGAAGAATGATTTTAGAATGGTTAGGGACAGTTAGAGTCTAATGGAAGAGAAAACAAAAACATGGGGAATCCTGAGGCTTACCTGTCCACTCCATCCCAGCGATATCCAGGCCAGATATTAAATCTGTTGGGAGGAGGTGCTGGACCATTGTAGCGAGGTCTCACTAATGAGAGGGAGAAAAAAGAACTCAGTTATCTATATAATTTAATTCAGAGCTGATAACAGTGAGGGAAAAAAATTCTATACAGAAAAATCAGTTGAGTTGAATCTAAACTCACAGACATAATGAATTTAAAATTGTACAGGAAAGCGTTCTTTGCACATAGCTATCATCAGCACCCTAATGATTCTCTCTTCACACAAGTCACTTCCAGCTCTGATGATTCCCAAAAGTCACACCTTTCTTAGTCTTGTTCTCCTTGGCCTTATTCTTCTTGATGAATTCAGCCATGGGGTCTCCCTCTCTTTCTTGTTCTCTCAGCATCTTATCCAGATCTTCATCATCAATATAGCGGGCCAGAGGCTTTTGCATCTCCTTCATGGCATCCTCTACATTTTGCTGCTGTTGCCGGCTCTGGGCAAGCCTGGACAAAAAAGAACCAAGAGTGTTTGCTATCCTGTTTGACACTTATACACCTACACTGAGATGGACCACCCCATGAAATCTGGAGAACCTCCTCTTTCTAGTAGCCTAGGCCAAATATTGAACAGGGTAAAACTCCCAGAATACCCACTGGAAGAGTGGGATATATCAGCACACTAGGAATGAGATTCAGCACACAAAATTTCCCCTTCCTGGTAACTAACAGCTGTGAAGGCAGAACAACAAACTAACTGGTCAGAAGAATAAAGAAATGACTTGCTTCAGTCACTGCCAATTTGTGTTCCCTTTCAGCAGTTCACTTACCCTTTTCCCCACTGGGCATACAGTTCATCTCTCTCCGAGTCCTTCTCTGCTTTCCTCCTTTGCTCTAACCGCTCCAGTTTCAAGTTTCTCTTACGACCAGACTTGTCTCGAAATACGGTTTCAGCATACTGGGATTCAGCTTCAAAAGGAAAGAATCCTTTTTAAGATAAATAGCAGGTATCGAAATAAGAAACAATATTCTAACAGATAAAATGAAATCTCTTGGAATGCTGACTGAGTAAGAAAGAACTTTTGCAGCCAGATCACAAGTAATTCCTACTAACCTCTAGGTGCGTATTAATGCTGGGCCTGAGAAATGACACTTTTCAAGAAGAAAAGAATGACCTGGACCCACTAAGAAGTTAAAATAATATATAAAACCAGAACTGAAATCTGATACAGTCAAAAGTTTAAAATATGAGGTACAATATGCTACATTAAAAAAGAAATAAAAGCTACCTGAGCCTAGATTGGTCTCTGAGCTTTCATGTTTTTACCTTCAAATGCCACGGTTTCTTGGTCCCTTTTCTTGAGCTCCTGCTGCTCTCGCTGGACGTCAGTTAACACCAACCCAGTCTTAGCCCCAGAATACATATGTGCAGCCTATGCAATGAAAAGGGAGTGTCCAGCATTAGTGAGACGATGCAGCAATGGGCTCCATGAATATACAGTCGGTTGCATTTTTGTCTGATGACAAGCAATAACCAAACCCAAAACTCTAGCTTGATATTCTCTTTATTTACCACAGGATTCACAAAATACAACAGAAGTAAAATCTAATTTCATGGAAAACTTAATAGTGCCATCAAGCTTAAGAGTAAGGAAAAACACAAACCAATCATATGTTAAAAGGAGGGATAAGAATTTTTATTTCTGACTTTTCAGTAAACAAACTGCACACATGAAGAAGACACCCTCTCAAGTCATCTGATCAAAAGCCAGTATCACACTCTAAGCCCTCCAGTAGAGATGTTTAATATTCCATTTAAAGTTCAAACTCAAGTAAATCTAAGACACTTAAATTATGGATGTATTTCAGGATAACAACAGAATATATAACCAAATGAAAGCTTTTTACTAATATCCACTTTGTACCAAGACCAACTCATGAATGGAGTACACAGCATATCCCAACATCCTTAAGCAACTAAATTTAATTAATATTAAATTATCCATGGACTAAATAAATAAAATAATAAAAATGTCAAGGGGTCCAGTTGAAACTGAGATCTCATTTCTTTTCCCATAGAGGAGAACCTCACTTCCTGGGTTAGAACAGGCTAGCGGTCTACCTGCCAGAACTAGTAAAGTCTTCTACAGAGGAGACATACCTGAGAAGTCTGCCCTGGAGAGTCAAATGCAGACCACGGGTTCCATCATTCTGTTTCTTCACCAATTTACAAATAGATTCCTTTCCTACTCCTAGTGATCTTTATTATAATATAACTACTCAGGGTACTTGTGGACTTTTTTTTTGGCAAATTTATCAAGCTTTATCACAGATTTAAAATAAGACAAAATAAGTGAAATACAGAAAAATACAATTTCCCAGAAAATCCAACTTCTAAAAGTAGTTTTATATTTTAAGTACCTATCTTTAAGCTCTGGACACAGACACCGATAGTCCAGCTTATAAATGTAAACTCTAAATGCTTACTTTATCCCAGGCATTGTGGTAAGAGTTTTGCTTACACTAATTCATTTAATTTTCAAAATAACTTTATGACGTAGGTACTACTATGCATTTTATAAAGAAGCTGAGGTTTAGAGATATTAAGACTTTTGCCCAAATCTCACAGATAGTTAAGTGCAAGAAGTATGAATATGTGATCAGTTTGACACAAATTCTGTACCCCTAACTCCACTCTGCAAACTATAGTCCGTAGTTTACTTATATGAAAATAGGGAGTTTTTCTGGATCTATTAAAAAATGAGATTTATAGAATTATAAGGTTATAAAGGCAGAGCTACTTGGGAAATCTGGTATTTCTACGTCCATCTGAGGATAGCCGGCTCTGCCTTCAGAGAGAGGGAAAGAGTTCCAAAGGCCCTTTTAACTAAAATTTACTACATTTCCAAGAGCTATGTCTTCCTCCTCTGGCTTGATTCTCTGGGACTAGAAGAGTCACTATAAAGGAAGAATATGGCTCCTCAAAATCCTTACCTTCTTTCCAGGAGGCTGACTCCTTCGAGGTGGAGACAGATCAGAATCAGAAGATTTGGTCCTCTGTCTCCTCCTTGGTGGAGAAAGGTCAGAATCAGAGCCTCCGTGCCTAGGTCTATTCCGTGGAGGAGAAAGATCTGAATCAGAGGCTCTCTGGCAGTTACCTGTATAGGAAAAATTCAGTGTGTGACTCTGATATCTCCTAGGTGAAGAACTTATATGAAATTTCCTATAGCTAGGAGACAAGCCTAGAAATTAAAAAATAAATTCTCTAATCCCCCTAGAAGAATCTAATAAAAGACCTCACCTTTTAGTCTTTCTATGAAAAACTATCATTAACCCAAACACAAACATGAATGATATGGGAGAAGAGCAAAGTCAAGGACAACTTTTAAGACCAAAAGGCGTAACATGGGCTTCTATACCCAAAGGACTAGTGACTGTGACCAGTATGTAGCATCTCAACACACTCATCTATCTGTATCAGTTACCCCACAATGGGCAATGCAACTTCTGGTATGGCAAAACTCAGAAACAGCTAGAATATATTCTGATGTCCTCAAACTAAAGGATAACAAAGTATTTTAATTTAAAAATTAAAACAGTACCTAGGAATAAAGATGGTGTAAAAACATCTCACCACATTGTCCTAACTTTTAGATACTGTATGAGCATCACAAACCACCTCCCAAAGAACAATCTGCAATATGTTTCAACAGTCTTAAAAACATCCACACCAGGCCAGGCGTGTGGCTCACACCTGTAATCCTAGCACTCTGGGGAGGCCGAATTGGGTGGATTCCTTGAGCTCTCTTGGGCGATGGATCTGAGGAGTTCAAGACGAGCCTGAGCAAGAGTGAGACCGTGTCACCACTAAAAATAGAAAAAAAAGAAAAACAGCTGGGCCTTGCAGCAGAGGATCACTTCAGCCCAAGAGTTTGAGGTTACTGTTAGCTCTGATGATGTCATGGTACTCTATCCAGGGCAACAGAGTAAGACTCTGTCTCAAAATAAAAAAAAAAATCCACACCTACTGACTCAGGAAATCAACTTCTTAGTTTTCTAGGAAACCTATCTAGAAGCAACTAAATTTCCAGGAAATCTTATCTAGAAGTAGACTAGGAAATAATCCAAAATGTGGACAGTAGTTTAAGTACCAGGATGTTCATCTCAGAACTATAAAAGCAAAAACTTAGAAATAACCAAAAACATGCAACATTAGGGAAATGGTTAGGTAAATTTAGGTATGGAGGGCAGCGCCTGTGGCTCAGTGGGTAGGGCGCCGGCCCCATATACCAAGGGTGGCGAGTTCAAACCCGGCCCCAGCCAAACTGCAACAAAAAACCAAAATAGCCAGGCGTTGTGGCGGGCACTGTAGTCCCAGTTACTAGGGAGGCTGAGGCAAGAGAATTGCTTAAGCCTAAGAGTTGGAGGTTACTGTGAGTTGTGATGCC